CTCAGCATTGCCTCTGGGTGAGCAGCAGCTGGTGCGGTGGGGAGCAAAGCTGGGGCGGTGCTGGAGCCCAGTGTCCAAGGGGCAATGCTGAAGCAGCCTCAACGTTCCATCACTTGGTGCTGGTGCTTCATCCCCAGCACGAGAGGAAGAGGAGGAGGAGAAGGGCTTGGTGCTGGCACTGCTGGGGTACCCAAATCATCTACCATCCTCAGAGCCATCTAAGCATCAGCCACGAGGGACCCGGCTCTGCCCAGGGCACATACTGTCCTCACCACCACAGCATTGGCAGTCGGTTACGTCAGCACCGGCGCGGTCCCCACGTCCTGTTGCTGGTGGTGATGGTGGCACGCAGCCCGGCTCAGCCCTTGCCAACGTCTCGGCATGGAGCAGCCGGCAGCGCTGCGAAGGCTGTGTGGCGCAGAGCCTGTGTTTTCCCAGCACGTGCGACGCTGGGGCGGACAGGAGCAGAGCAATGCCAGCGTTGCCGTCATCACCTCCTCGACGCCGTTTATCATTACCTGCTGTTTACGCACCTCCGGCCAAGTTTCCATCCACTGACAAGGTGCCCGGCCATCTCGCCACCGCGTCTGCCTGGGGGAGAGCCAGGGGCCAAAGGCCCCTCCAGCCCGGGCGCCTGCAGGGAGCAGGCACAGAGGGGCCACGCGGCTGCCATGTCCCCATTCCTCCAGGATCAGACACTCCCAGGACCCATCACCATGGACAAGCCAGCTGCGATTGTATGGGGGGAGCAAGGGGAGGTCCCTTGGTACCCCAGGGTGCTCGGGGACAGCCTGGAGCCCTCGCTGCCACTGCTGGAGCATCACCGAGCCTCCGCCAAGTCACAACCCAATGGAGCGGAATGCCCGGGAGGTGCCACAGCAGGGGACATGTCCTGCCTCTGCAGGGTATGGGGACCCTCCTGGCCTGAGGGTGTGGCCACTGGCACCCGCAGAGCCCCATGTCAGGCTGTGGTGGGTAGGAGGCCTGTGTCCGCGCTTACCCCATGCCCGGGGGGCTCTTGGCCAGCTGCCCCCACAATCATTAACCCAGTGAGGCCCTGGCAGCTCTGGCTGTCACTCATTGACAGGGTCAGGGCTGAAGTCCTTGGCCGTGCCGGCCCCACAGCTTCCCCTACATCATCAACGGTGCTGGGAAAACAAGCTCTTGGCACTGCCCCTTGCTGCCGGGCAGGGTGACACTGGAGCCAAGTTTCCATCCACTGACTCCACATGGAGTCCTGGGGGGCTCCATGGGGTATGGGGGGACATCGCTGCCAGGAAAAGCACTGTCCAGTATCGGTGGCGGAGGAAGGAGAGGGACACGCATCCAGGCAATGCTCTTTATTTCCCCCGGTTGCACACCATAGACGGGACTGAGCAGCACTACGGAGACACAGTGGGGCTCTGACCGGGCCTGCGGGGCTGCAGCCGGCCGCAGCAGTGTGGAGCTGGGTGGCCATGACCTCCATCCCTGGGCGAGCCCTGGGGCTGCCCTGGGCCACCCCTCTGCCTCTGGCTGAGCCATGGTGATCCAGGGAAGGGCCCCGGCACACGCAGATGATGGAGGGATCTCCTGGCTGCTGTCTGGGGTCTCCACTGTAGACTGGGTCTGGGACCTCTGGGGACACAGGGCAGCCCAGGATGGGGACCTGCCGGGCACAGCCAGGTCTGGCAGAGCCAGGTTCAAGGTTATCGCCCAGCACAGCCGCTGGCAGGGATGCCAGGCTGGGCACACACTGGGTACCCACACACCAGCTGAGATGCTCAGTACCCAGGGGTGCTGCATTCCTCTGACAGGAGGCAGGCCTGTCCCCAGGGGCTGAGCACCCATGGCCCCAGCTGGCCTGCGGCAGGAGACCTACGGGACCTGCTGCCCAAGCAGGATCTCCCTGCGGGGAGGAGGAAGGCTTCTTTGGCACAACCTGCTGGCTCTGCCTCTGTCTGCTCAGGGCAGGAACCACATATGGCTCCACACCCTGCTCTGCAACAGCGCTGAACCTGGCAGGATCAAGCCCAGCCATGCTCACACAACACAGATGCTAACAACCTGCTTGGGGCACAGGCCAGCAGGGCCATGCTTACCCCTCCCTGGGACGGGTAGACCCCCACATCAACAACGGGGGAACCCCTGTTCCTGAGGGGTCAGGGACTGGATCCAGCCCTCAGCTCCAGACACGCATTCTCCTGACCCTGCCTGCCCACAGCACTGGTGTTCGGGGCTGGCGCCTGCTTTGCCACCCCATCCACCCGTGCCCTCTCTATCCCGCACACCCTTTGGTTGAAGGGTGCTTTCCCCACCTGAACAGTCCGCGAGCTGTGCCAGCCTGGCACAGGCAGGATTTGCCAGGGCGGCAGCTCTGCCGCAGGCAGAGGCACTGGGCAGGACAGTGCCAGGCATGCGTGGGATGTTGCAAAGTGCTTTGCAATGGGGATTCAAACTATGTACAGGACTCCCTTGACGTGCACCAGGATGTGACCTCACCGAGGGGCATGGCAGCGGCTCAACCACTCACAGCAACACGACACGACAGTTTGGGACAGGACGTAGATGAATCTGCGGTCCAGGCAGTGTCGGCGGCGCAGGGCAGGGGCTGGTCGGGCCCCACGTTGAACCCCAGCATGGCCCGGGGGTACCATGCGCCAGGTGCAGATGTGCAGTAGGACTCATCGGAGCTCGCGGTCGACCGGTGGCTGAGCCGGCGCAGGCTCTGCGGGCTGAGGATGGCCATTTCCCTTGGAGCCTGAGTGAGGGGTGTGGGGCTGATCCGACCCCTTGCAGGCACTGTCATCCTGCCCAGGGAGCTGGAGGAAGTCAGGCAGGACCAGGTCCTCCTTGGAGAGCAGCCCACGCTGGTCGTTGGCCCGGCAGCTCTGGGCAC